TGTCCAATGTAGGTTTGTCTTTCTGGTCAGTTGTTCTGTTGGACATGGCAAACAGTTTTCATACACTCAGGCAGCTGTTCTTCTGTGAGAAGCTGGGCCTGAGCCAGTTGGGACCTGTTGAGATGCTCAGGAGTCTGGGAATGAGGGAGGCCCATGCAGTTGGAGCAGAAGAAGCTAAAGATGATCTGCCTCCAGCTGCTGGAAGGGCATCCACAAAGGTGATGGAGTAAAACTCCTGACAGTGGCAGATGATAGAGTAAGGGACAACAGACACCAAGTTGTCTTGGGAGGGTCAGACTGGACATGGGAGGAAGAAAACTCCCTGGAAGTGTGATGCTGTGCTGGGGCAGATCCTCAGGGAGGGGAGTGTTCTCCATCTAACATCTCAGGTGGTCCAGTGTTGGAGGTGGTCCCATGTGAGCTGGGTGTTGCAGTGGAGGTCTCTAGAAGGTCTTCCCCCCAGCACATCAGTGTTTCCAGCCTGTCATCTGCTCCTGGAGGAGCAGCATTGCTGTACTCTTTGCAGCAGGTGGCATTAAGCCAACAGGATTTTATTAAGCCTTGACAAACATACTCATTTCTGCATTCCTTATAATCCTTTTCTTGAAACCACTGGCATTCCTCAGTGTCTACTTTCTGTCCCAGCCAGTCCAGGCATTCCCTTCCCATCAGGATCAGACAGTACCAGGTCACTGGTGTTCTTTGGAGACTATGAGAAGCCTCAGATACATTTACCTGGAGAAATCCCAGTGGAGTTCTGGAATTTGCTTCCTGTTCTCTCTTCCTCAAGACAACGAAGCACTGGACTTAGGGTGTGACTTAGTTTCCCCTTGTCCCTGCTGAGCACATCGTTGCTCTGGGACCATTCAGATGACTTTTTTGGAATTCCTGCAGTTTCGCTAGGGATGTCAAAGAAAAATTGTCCTGAACTGTTTGGTTTTGAAGGACACAACCTGTGGGTCCGAGGCAAAGTCTCTGCATGCCAGACTTTCTCCCCTGTTGGATTTTGTGGAGTGGTTCCCTCTATTTCAGAAGGTTCAGCTTCTCTTGACCATCTGTGGTTCCTTTTCCTGGCCTCTTCTCCACAGCCATTAGACAGGTGCTTTATTTCCACCCCAAGCAGGAAGAAAGGCCGTGGAACAACCCTCAGCAAGCCAAGAGCAAGCCTGGCTTTGCTTCCCTGAGTTCCTTCCTGGGGATCCTGGCAGTTCCTAGCTTCCTGCAGCCACCCCAGGATCTCCAGGGTGGTGTCATTGCCTTGTGCAACTCCAACCAGTTCTCTCTTGCTGCTGGGGGAGTGTGTCTTTAACTCCTGCCTTGGCTTTTGATCATAACCACCTGCCTCTATTCACAGGGCTCAGGTTACTTTTTAACTGTTTATAGGCCTTTTATCTTTTCCTTCCCTGCATTGGCAAAACAATGTTGTTAAAGACAGGATACTCCAAGGGAATTGGCTTTGTTCCTTGTCTTTCAAGTTTGTTCTGAGATGGCCTTATCTGGGAATGATTAGCTTCTTCCTGGAGACAAGCATCATAAAATGAAAGCAGGACAAGTATAGAAGAACCACTCCTTGAGCTTGATAAAAGTATCCAGTGGTAATAAAGTTAGTACACAGTCTCCCACATCCTCAGGGATCTGCACACCCAGGGAAATGGGATCACTCCAGCATTCCCCATCTGGTGCACAGAGGCTGTGAGATAGGAGTTGGTTCCTATCAGCCTTATTGCTGGTGATTTGGTACACACATAGTTCCTTCATAAAGGTCCTTCAAAAGGAAAGAAAATCCACTTTTCCTTCCTTTATTTCAGCTTTCATCTTTCTACAGTTGCGGGTTTGTTTGTTTGGGACTTTCTGAGGAAAAAAAGGCCCTGGCACAGTGTGGAGTCACCAGGCCTGGAGTAATTTCACAGCTGTGTGGATGTGGCTCTTGGGGACATGGTTAGTGGTGAACATGGTTGGACTTGGTCATCTTGGAGCTCTTTCCAACCTAGACAACTCTGTTTCTCTGTTTAAATAACCATTATGTCATCTGCAAACTTCCCCTTACCCTGTTCATTGTTACTGTTGTAGGAGCTTTATCCCCTCCAAATACACTGTTGAATCTCCTGAGTGCTGAATTCTGTGACAGAGGTATTTGGGAGCAGCTCAGGCCCAAAGGAAGAGCCAAGGACTTGTGTAGAATTTCTCTGGGAGCACCAAGAAGCACCTGGTTGTGTCTGAAATTGTCCCTTTTGTTTCAGACACTGTCATGGCACTTCCGTGTTCTGTGGGGAAGCAACACAAGTATCCCATGGGAATTTCTGCCCTCACAGCCTTTCTGCATCTCTTCCAGCCTCTCATGGATGTTGTTCCTGTCACTTCAGGGGTTACAGAGTCATAGAATCATCAAGGTTGGAGGAGACCTCCAAGATCAAGTCCAACCCTTAACCTGTCATGGCTGTAACCCCTAAACCCTAAATCATATGCTCCAGTGCCAGGTCCAGACACCTCTTTAAAACACCTCCAGGGCTGGTAGCTCCATAGTGTAGCCTCAGTGCTATCCTGTTTCTCTTTAGGCTTGGGATTTGATCCATGCACACCCTGCATAGCTGGTGGAAGGTAGTAACTGAGCCTCACCCTTTCCCTTCACGTTTCCCGGCTCAGCTAAGATGGGATCAACCTATCTTGGCCTTCCTACAAAGCTTGTACTCTCTCACTAAGAGTCTTCCTTGTATCAAGCTCAGAAGATGTTGTTAAGCCAACTTATCCTGACTTTTCAGCTCCTCTACTTTATTTCTTGGGAATTCTAGCCTGGGAGCACAGGTCTGTCTTGACCTCATTGCCTGTTTCTCTGCACTTTGCTTAAGTCTGGCTTCACTTCTTGAGGCTGTCCTGTCTCCTACCTGAATTCTAGTGATTTCTGTCTTACTGAGTTCCTAAGGCTACAGAGTTTTAGTGATTTAGCTCTTGGAATGCTCCTGAGCTGTTGTGGGCTGCCTCTCCCTGGTCTGTAGTTAAGACATCACCTGTAATGTTTCATTTGAGGTGCCAAGGAGCTGCTGCTGTTTGCATTTCAATGCAGCTCATTCTTGCATAGAGTCATCTGTTTCCAAAGTTCCTCCAGACCTCTCCAAGTGCTAACCTAACCCTCTTCCACATTCCTGTATCCTCAGTCATGCTTCAATGCTTCTCTCATTTCCTGACCAACTTTACCCATGGAATCTGAGTCATTTCAGAGATGTCCAAGCCTTTATATCCTGCCACAGATGTCCTGCACTTCACCTTTTTACCTGCCAGCTTTAATTTGGCTTCCTGCTTCCTCACCCTGTTGTTTTTTATCCTTTAACCAACATTGCTTTCTGCCTGGGGCTCTCACAGGTGTCTAGACACTCTGAAGTGCCATTTTCCAACGTGGCAGTTCCTCACTGGCATCACAAACTAATTACTACTACTACATTCATCCCTGTTTTCATCAGCTGGGATAGCCTGGAAGAGGGAGCACCAGACCACCCTCTGGAGCTTACTGGCTGGATACTTTCCCCCCCTTCCCTTTGCT